GGTCATCCAGCACGAGGTGTCTCTGATGGCGTGCACCTCGACTGGGGTCGAGGACCTTTCGATGCTCGGGCGTGACAGGGATTCTTGTATGACGGATTTGTTTCCACCCTTCTTTCTTGTGCTTGCGAGCTTGGACAGTATGTTTGCCCTTGTGTTTTGCTCGCGCGGGACGTGTGATATTTATGCTCGGTCGAACTTTTTCATGTGTTCTTTGACAAAGTTTAGGTATTCGACGAGGCTGTCGTTTTTAGCTTGGTAACTCCCTTGGACTTGGGAAGCAACGAGTTAAGAGTCCGTGAAAATTCGTACCTCGCGGGCTCCTAGGTCCTCGGCTAGCCTTAGTCCTGCGAGTAGGGCCTCGTATTCTGCCTGGTTGTTCGAAGTCGGGAAGGAGAGGGTTAACGAGTGCTCGATCACTACGCCCTCCTCATTTTCTAGGAGGATCCCGGCGCCGCTTCCGGACGAGCTGGAAGCTCCGTCGACGAAGATGGTCCATTTGTGCTCCTTCCCTGCGGGTGGGTCGTGAGCGGTCATTTCCGCGACGAAGTCGGCCAGGGCTTGTGCCTTTAGAGCTTTCCTGCTCTCGTGTTGAATGTCGAACTCGGAGAGTTCCAAGGACCACTTCAACATTCGACCCGCCATGTCAGATCGACCTAAGAGTTGTTTTACCGGTTGGTCGATTCGCACTATGACTGTGTGGGCCAGAAAATAGTGTCTGAGTCTCCTCGCCGTGTTGACGAGGGCTAGAGCTACTTTTTCTATCTGTTGGTATCTGCTCTCGGGTCCATGTAGGGCTTTGCTCGTGAAATAAACGGGTTTCTGCCCGTCGGTGGTCTCGCGAATGAGAGTCGCGCTGATAGCTTCGTTCGAGACGGCCAAGTATAGAAATAGAGGTTCCCCGTCGACTGGTCGAGACAGTACGGGCGGTTGGGATAGACTTTGTTTTAGGTGGCGCAGTGCCCGTTCGCATTCCTCGGTCCATTCGAAGGCCGCTTCTTTGCGAAGGAGTCTGAAGGAGGGGAGGGTGTGCTGAGCGGATCTTACGACGAAGCGGGATATCGATGTGAGCATATCGTTCATGACTTGTATTGATTTCTTTGACGTAGGTGTCGGGAGGTCGGAGAAGGCTCGACATTTGTCGGGATTGGCTTCATTTCCTCGCTCTGTCAGGTAGAACCCGAGGAATTTCCCCGCCTTGACTCCGAACATGCATTTTTCGGGGTTGAATCTCATCTTACATTGTCTCGCTTGGGTGAAGACTGCTTTGAGGTGGGCTGCATGATCGATGTCTTCTCGGGACTTGATGATCATGTCGTCCATGTAAACCTCGAGCATGTCTCCGATTTGCTTGTGGAACACTTTGTTCATCATGCGTTGGTAAGTTGCCCCTACGTTCTTTAGTCCAAAGGGCATTACGTTGTAGTAATAATTGCCCGAGATGGTCATGAAGGCAGTGCATTGTTTGTCGCCCATGGCCATTGGGATTTGGTTATAGCCTGAATAGGCATCCATGAACGACAATATCTTGTAACCGGTTGAGTTGTCGACCAGCATATCTATGTTCAGTAAAGGGAAAGCATCCTTCGGGCATGCCCGGTTGAGATCGGTATAATCAACACACATCCGCCATTTTCCATTATTCTTTTTAACTAGTACAACATTTGACAGCCAGGTTGGATACCGGACTTCAGAAATAAAATTCGCCTCTATGAGGTCTTTTACAGCTTTTTCAGCAGCCTCCATTTTCTCCGGAGACTGCCTACGCCTACGTTGTACTACTGCCTTAGCGGCAGGATCTATGGCAAGACGGTGACAGGCGACCTCGGGGTCGAGTCCGGGCATCTCTGCGGCGCTCCAGGCGAACAAGTCAGCATTCTCGCGCAAGCAGGCTTTGATCTGCTTCCTTGCCAGGTCGGGGAGGTCGATGTCAATCTTCACTCCTTTGCTTGGGTCTGTGCCGAGGGGGACGAGCTCGAAGTCCCCGTCCGGGATTGGTCGGAGGGGGATTTGCTCGCCGTTGGGAGGTTCGTCCTGATCGAAACGGGTATCCAAAGCTATGGAGTCGACCTTTGGGGGAGCTCTCTGGTCTTCTGCTTTGGCGGGCTCTGATTTTTCGGGATCCTGTCGTGTCATCGTCGATCTCTTGGCGGGCCTTGTCCTAGTGTCGACCGTGTCGCGTCCCTTGGATGCGGCGTTGAAACACCTTCGAGCAGCGGCAAGGTCCCCCTGGATGGTAGCAACCTGTGCCCTCTTGGTGTAGAACTTCATCTTCAAGTGGACGGTAGAGGGCACCGCGGTCAGCTCTGCTAGTGTTGGTCTCCCCAGGATGCAGTTGTAGAGGGACGGGCAGTCGATGACGAGGAAGCGCACCTTGACCTGCCTTGTCGTCGTGCCCTCGCCGAAGGTGACCATGAGCTCGACATATCCCCAAGGTTTGGAGGTCGAGTCGTTGAAGCCCTGTAAGTCCGACCCTACATACGTCGAGAGGTGCGGGTCATCTAGTTGCAGAGTCTGGAATAATTGACTGTACATCACGTCGACGAAACTTCCTTCGTCGACGAGGATGCGGTGCACGTCAAAGTTGGCCATTCTTGCTCTTATCAGCAGAGGAATGACTGCGTTGGAGGCTCCTCCGGGGAGCTCTTCGAGGTAAAAGGTGATAGGCTCCGACCTACCTTTCACCCTTTCAAAAGTCACCGTCTGAGGAGGAGCAGAGTCGACCAGTTCATCCAGCTTTCTCTTGGCCGAATTGATGGTTAGGTCGTTGAATCCTCCACCATTGATGACCATGGTGAAGGGAAAGTATTCTCACCTGCTGTGTGTCGTGAGTGGCTCCTACAGGTGTTCGGGGACGTAGAAGTCCTCCGATCTGGTGACGGAGAAGGTTGTTTGGACGGGGACCGACTCGTCAGATGGTCGGGCGTCCTCCTCCGGTTCTCTTGTCTCTCGGGCATCGCGACGAGGAGCGTCATTTCGCCGATATTGGGCGAGCCTCCCTCCCTTGATGAGGGTTTCGATGGCGTCCTTCAGGTGGACGCAGTCTTCAGTCAGATGACCATGGCTCCTATGGTACTGACAGTATTTGCTCTTGTCTACTCCGGGCTTGGCAAGAGCAGATCGAGGGCGCTTGACGCCGCCGTCTTTAAAATCCGTGCTGGCACACTCTGCCAAAATGCGCTCGCGGGAAGCTGTGAGCGGAGTGTATTCTGTAAAACGCCCTGAAGGTCCTCTTTGCTCTCGGACTTCTCGGGGTCTGTCCTCTTTTCTTGGCGCGGGTTGCTGCTGGATCCGCGAGTTCTGGGGTCCCGGGCTCTGTTGGCCGCCTCCCTTTCCTCGTAATCCATATATGTGCGGGCATTCTCGAGGAGAGCATCGAATGTTCGGGGTGGTTCGATGCCCACTGCCTTTCTGAATTTTGTGTCGGGGAGGAGCCCCCTCTCCGGCAAGTACCTTTTCATGTGGTCCGCGCAGGGGACCTGTATGGCTTCGCGATTGAAGCGATTAATAAATTCTCTCAAGGTTTCATCTTGTCTCTGGATGATGGCCTCGAGTGCTGCCTCGGTCTTTGGGTGTCGCCGAGACGCAGTGAACGAACTTATGAATTGATTCTTCAGGTTCCGCCACGAGGTGATTGATCCCGGGGCGAGGCCTTTATACCAATCCATTGCTGCCTTTCTGAGGGTCGTGGGAAACAACCGACATTTGATGAGTCCCCCGACATTATGGTAATGCAGCATAGCCTCGAACTCGTCTATGTGGTCGACTGGGTCCGCGACTCTGTCGTATTCTTTCAGATGTGGAGGCTTCTCCATGCCCGGTGGAATGGGTGCCTCCATGATGGCTTGTGACAGGGAACCGCGGGGGTCGTCCTCGTCACTTTGCTCCGGGAACAGGGATGGGGACCTGAGATATTGTTCTGCCCGACGGTCCTGGTCGTGCTGGGTATCCCTCGAGCGGGGTGTTCGTTGGTCAATTCTTCCGTGCCTGTCCCCAGGGTGTCTTCTTTCTTGCCGTATGGGGCCATGGTTGCGCCCTCCGGCTTCAATGACGGGTTGCCTTTCCAAGGGGGGTCGTCTCCCCGACGGTCAGGGCGACGGGCTTCGGGAGGTGTCTCTGTATTGTCTCCGCGGAAGAGATGGGAGATGTACCTCTGTTACTCGAAGAGGTGGAGTCTGAGGCCTCCCGTGTCTCCTCGCGGGTCTTCTAGCGCCCTCAATCTTTCCCCCTGGGCAAAGATGAGATAGTTGGTTTGATTGATCGCCGCAAATAGTGCGCGGGTTGTGGCATCTGCCCCGGCGGAGACAAGGACCTGAGAACATTGTAAATAGAACATTTTGATTTTGAGAATATCAACTCTGAATTTTTTTTTTTAATAATATGAGACCAAGTTTCTTAAGACTATAGTTAATTGCATATCAAAGGTTTAAGTATCTAAAAAGGCCAAATAACTTTTCATGTAAAAACATATATCTCACTTGCATATCCCACATATATAGAGACAACAATGCCACACTACAACTTAATAATACTTTGTCACGTATTAGTCAAACAAATTTTGAAGTGTGTTTATCTTCCCACGTGCAACTAGAAGCATCACCTTTTGATTTTGTCTTTGAGGAATTACATCTTAGTAAGATGAAATAGTTGACTCATCACTACCTCCTTCAATCACTCCTTGTTTTTTCATATATTCCAATTTGTCTTGAAACAAATAAATCAATCCAATGAAAAAGACTTCCATTGCAATATGAATATGTTAATTGATGTAAATTTTAGTTTATATTAAAAATTTAAAGGGACATTACTACTGTGCTCTGTTGTGGTTATATTTCCTTCAAAAGAGACAATGTAATGTTTGTGCTGACCCCTTTTCTCACCTTTGCAGCACCATTGAAGTTATGTCCAATATGTTGCCCAACAAAAACTATTCATGTGCTCTCTTAAAGAGTGAGCTTTTGAGAATTCCTGTAAATTGTATATAGCGTAAAAGTAAAATTTAATTAGTCACAGAAATCCAAAAGGTTATAATATTTGTCAATCATGCTACAATACACATAAAAGGCAACAGTTAGTTTTTCATCCAATGGAAAAGAGGAGAGGAGAACACAAATCTTTTGATGTATATGTTTGTAATTTGGATGTAATTGAAAGACAACACTTTTAGCAACATTTTCCATCACTTCTAGAACAAAATGAGGTGCATCAGCCATCCAAATGGCAATGTTGGGATAGACATAGATAAATTTCTTGTAATCTATCTCCAAACTGCACTTGTTAGCTACAACAAAAGACAATAAATAAGTTGCCGCAAGGTGTTGTTGACTGTCACAGCTATAAAGCTTGTAGAAAATGTATTACCTGACACCATTTCATTAATCAGACATACATACTCAAAGAGATGATTAATGTATATTAGCATCTTTCTCCTAAAATTAAGTGAGAAGAACACGTCGTCTCAACAAATTAGAAGAAATTTGTTAGAGAGGGAGGGGATAGAATCACACTGTTCTATAAGCTTCTCGCAGTTCAAACATTTTTTCTTTGCAATATTTTCAATGACCAAAAGTATCTGCTGCAAGTTTTCTTTGCATTGCATTTTCCCTGAGCTTCAAATCTGAAGACAAAAAGTATATGGTGCAACATGACTTTAAGGATATTCTATCAATCAATTGCGTATAAAGCTAGTAGACGACAAATCTGTTGAAAAACATATAATAGAACTTATAACATGAAACTATAATAGAAATTTATGACCATAGGCAAAGACAAAAGTACACATGAGCCCAAGTTTGTTGGCACTGTCATGTAATTCATCCATCTCATTGCTTGGAACCTGAATTCCAACTATTCCATTTTTCTCCAGTTTCACCCTGTTAGCGACATCAAACACAAGAATTCCATTAGATTGCAATGGGGAAATAAACATGTACACATGAAGCAGTTGAGTAGAAGAATGTCGTGAACTCTCACACGCGCACGATAATGGAATAAACTGATATTCCATTGTGTACTTAAGGAGTCCAAAAATTTCATCAAAGCACCATGTCTTTCTTGAACGTAAAACAACAAAGAACTTCGTTTTGAATATCCGGTCAGGCTCCCATCTGAAACAGGATCAGTCAGTTACTCTGAAGTGTTTAGTAAAGAGTTTACGACCATTAAATCAAATGGAGCAGCTCTTTGTCATGTGTTTAGCAGAGAAAGCCAACTGCTTTGGCTCAGCCCCTATGAAAAAACCATAACAAACTAATTGTCAGTCGGCATGTATAAACTTTTACAGCCTGAACTAATCTTTGATCCCATTATGTCGCGTCCATATGCAACAACGTCTGACTTCACACGGCCATAATTGCAAGGGTAAATATTTACCAGCGAGTAAGAAACAAATCTCGCAAATATATTTGAGGGAATCAACAGAGATCAATTTGACAGCAATGAGAAAGTCGTAATCAAAATACTAGAAAGCCACTGAAAGCAACTACTCAAATAGAAAATGCAACCATGTAAAATAAGATAATGCAAGCAAACATGGAAAATAATTGTAACACAACACTGGGCCAACCTTTTCCACTTTTTCATTTTTGCAGGTTACAATAGAAAATTCGTAAGTGATAATGGCAAGTTAGTAAGGCCCTTTACAGACTGACCTAACCTAACAAATAAAGATGGGAAGTAAAAGAATGATTAGAAAGAAAATGGGAAATAGAGTTTGAGGAGAGTTCTGTTATATATGTTGTAATGTAAGGAAAGAATGGATCATGATGAGAGAATCATGTGTTACAGGAAAAATAAGGATTCCCTAATGCATTTTCCTTTTCATCATCAAAAATACACTATCATTCCCAGATTCAAATCCATTTTATTACCTTTACTCAGGTATACTGTGCTTTGGTTTGCAATTACAATTTCGCCTACAAGCATAATTAATTTGATTTTAAGCTAACTGACAATGAGATATTTTAAGATAATAACAGTAAATTACCTTGTCCCCGATTTCAGAAACAAATATTAATGTAAATGCAGCTGTGAATCCTGATTTTGCAGTTGCTGCTAGAACGGATGAAGGCAGAACGGATGAAGGCACTCCTTTCACAAAGGCTATTAACACAAGAGCAAATCCAAACAACACAGTAGCTATAGGTACATGATAAGGAATCCGAATAGGTCTCAAATCTGTAACTCACACAAATAATAAAAACTGAATCAATATCACAATCTCAAAACTGAATCAAAATCACAAAAAGTTAATCAAAATTACAAACCTTGCAACCTTGAATTTGTGTCAAATTTCTTAAAATCACAAACCTTCCAAATGAAAATAAAAAAAACTGAATCAAAATCACAAATCATTCAGCTCACAGATTCTACACAAATCATTCAGCTCAAATCATTCAACAACCCAAAAAACAGTTAGATCGCGTACTTTCTTCACTTCCTCTTCCATCTATACACAACAACACACCATCAGGTTCAACAAATTTGCAACTCTCCACCGTAAACTCGCCATCATCACCTTGACAACAACTACAATTTCATCTGACCACCACGTCATCCCTGCACAACATCAACAATATAACACAAGGAGATTGAGAATAAAAAATGGATCGAAATTGAAAAGAGAGTAGAATGTCGCTGCTTCATGAAATCTGAAAACGATGAAATCTGATAACACCACCGAGCACCTGAAATAAAACAAATAATCAAAATCTTGATGAAAGAAGTTGAAGAGATAGTTCAATGAAAATGAGAAACTCGATTGATGATAAACCCATAAATCCTTGAGCAGTGCAACCAATTCGTGAAATTGTTGAGGAAAACAAAATCGTCAGGAGAAGGACGAGAATATGGGTTGCCATGAAAACATGGAGGTGGTGATGGCGTAGATGTGGCGACAGCGATTTAGGGTTATGGGTGAAAGTGAGAACACAGAGAGAGAAAGGGTAAACGAGAAAGAGGGAGAAAGAGAGAATGAATCAGAAAAGTTTTTGAAAGGAAAAGAGAGAGGAAACGTTGAAAATGAGATTTTACAGGAAAATAAATACCGGATTGAATCATTGACCAAAAGCATAGCCACTTCAAAGTTTTATGTGTTTTGATTGGTCAATTACTTTGCATTCAGTCAATTACAAAAATGGATATATTTTAATGCAAATTAATTTTTGAACAAAGGGTAAATTAGAGAGTTTGGTAGTAGTTTATATTCTTAGTTAGGTAGCTGAATGACAATGTTTCTTTCTTTTTCTTTTTAAAACAAAAATTCACTCGCATTCTAAAAAGCATAAATCTCCTTTGTACAAATTCGCCCTGGTTCCCATCGAGGATGATACTCTTATAGCTCTCTATGACTTTAATAATCTGATTTATCAAGCTGAAGAAGATTTTGAAGAGGATTATGAACTTCCCGAAGAATTGGCTATGCTATTGAGGGAGGAGGAAAGGGTTATCCAGCCACATATGGAATCCTTGAAAGTTATCAACTTGGGTACTGAAGACGTAAAAAAGGAAGTCAGAATAGGGGCTACTTTGGAAGAATCAGTAAAACAAGGTCTAATTGGTCTACTACAAGAATATGTTGACGTCATTGCTTGGTCGTATGACGACATGCATGGACTTGATATAAATATCGTCATGCATCGTTTGCCTCTCAAGAAAGGTTGTCCACCCGTCAAGCTAAAGCTCTGAAAAACGCATCCATACATGTCTATGAAAATTAAAGAAGAGGTTCAGAAACAGTTCAACGCTGGTTTCCTAAAAGCAATCAAGTATGCCCCAATGGGTTGCGAACATTGTGCATGTGCAAAAGAAAGATGGGAAGGTACGAATGTGTGTCGATTATAGATATTTGAATAGAGCAAGTCCTAAGGATTAATTTTCATTACCTCACATTGATATTCTGGTTGACAATACTGCTCATTCAAAGGTATTCTCCTTCATGGATGGTTTCTCTGGGTACAACCAAATTAAAATGGCTCCAGAGGACATGGAGAAAACTACTTTGATTATCCCTTAGGGCACCTTTTGCTACAAAGTGATGTCGTTCGGTCTAAAAAATGCTAGCACAACATATCAATGTCCCATGGTGACTCTTTTCCACGATATAATCCACAAAGAGATTGAGGTTTATGTTAATGACATGATTGCAAAGTCTCAAACTGAGGAGGAGCATTTGGTACACCTACAGGAACTGTTTGAGAGGTTAAGAAATTTCTAGTTGAGGTTGAACCCAAGCAAATACATCTTTGGGGTACGGTCCGACAAACTGTTTGGTTTCATAGTAAGTCAACGAGGCATTGAGGTCGATCCTGCGAAAGTAAAATCAATATAAGAGATGTCCGAGCCAAGAATATAGAAAGAAGTTTGTGGGTTTCTAGGAAGATTAAATTACATCGCCAGATTCATTTCTCACTTAACAGCTGCATGTGAGGCAATCTTCAAGTTGTTACGAAAGGATCAAGTTGTGGAATGGAATGACATTTGTTAACAAGCATTTGATAAGATCAAAGAATATTTGCATGAACCCACAATCCTCATACCTCCCGTATCAGGAAGACCTTTGATTATGTACCTGACAATACTTGAGAATTCTATGGGTTGTGTACTCAGTTAACATGACGAAATAGGAAGAAAAGAGCATGTAATCTACTATTTGAGTAAGAAGTTCACTAACTGCGAGTCAAGATATTCACTACTTGAGAAGAGGTGTTGTGCACTTGCGTGGCCCACCAAGCGTCTAAGGCAATACTTGTTAACGCATATAACACTCTTAATATCCAAGATAGACCCAATTAAGAACATCTTTGAAAATCCAACTTTAACTGGAAGAGTTTCCCGTTGGAAAATGGTGTTAACAGAATATGACATTCAATATGTTACCCATACAGCTATCAAGGGTAGTGTATTATCAGATTATCTTGCTCATCAGCCAATGGATGATTACCAGCCCATGAAGTTTGACTTACCAAATGAAGACATTATGTTAATTAAAAGAGTATCAGATACAGAAGAAGGACCTGAACCAGGAGCGCGATGGACGCTTGTGTTTGATGGTGCCTCGAATTCCTTGGAATAGGGTATTAGAGCAGTCATTACTTCCCCTACAGGTTTTCACCCCCCGTTCACTATAAGAATTTGTTTTGACGCCACCAATAATGTTACGAGATATGAAGCTTGCATATTTGGTTTGGAAGCAGACATTGACTTAAAAATCAAGACTCTAGTAGTGTATGGAGATTCAAACTTGGTAATCTTCCAAATTAATAAATATTGGGAAACGCGTCACCCCAATTTGATCCCATACAGAGAACATGTTGTGCAACTAATTCCCTACTTTGACGAGATCACCTTCAGCCATATCCCAAGAGAGGAAAATCAATCAGTCGATGCCTTGGCTACCTTGTATTCCATGTTCAAAGTTAAGTGGACCGACGGAGCACCTAACATCAGAATTGAACGATTAAATGAGCCGGCTTACTACTTTGAGCTGGAAAGGACTAGAAAAAGATAAACCTTAGTACTACGACATTAAGAGGTACATTGAAACACAAGAATATCATGAGGAAGCTTCTACAACTGATAAAAAACTTTACAGAAGTTATCATCCAAATTCCTCCTCAACGGTAAAATTCTCTACAGAAGAAATTATGATTCACTGCTGCTCAGATGCGTGGATAGACATGAAGCAACTAAAATCATAGAGGAAGTACACGAGGGTTCCTTTGGGATACATTAAAGTGGCCACACCATGTCTAAGAAAATCTTGAGGCCAGGATATTATTGGACCACTATGGAAACTTATTGCTTTCATCATGCCAGAGCTTGTCACAAGTGTCAGATTTACGCAGACAAAATGAACGTACTGCCAGCACCTCTGAATGTAATGACTTCTCCTTGGCCTTTTGTTATGTGGGGTATTAACATGATCGTCCGAATCGAGCCAACTAATTTAAATGTACACTATTTCATCCTAGTTGCCATCGACTACTTCACCAAATGGGTAGAAGTTGCGTCCTATGCCAACGTCACCAAACAAGTGGTTACTCGTTTCATCAAGAATCAAATCATTTTCCCCTACGAAATTAATGAAAGGATCATTGCTGATAATGGGTCCAACCTCAATAACAATATGATAAAAAAGATGTGTCAGAACTTTAAAATCCAGCATCACAACTCTTCACATTATCGGCCAAAGATGAATGGCACGGTTGAAGCTGCAAATAAGAACATCAAGAAAATTATATAAAAAATGATAGTAACGTATAGGGATTGGCATGAGATGTTGCCTTTCTCTATACATGGCTGTTGTACCCCAAAACTTTCCCTCTCATTTCATCAACATTTCTCATCACAAGGCTCTTGGAACTCAAGATCAAGCTAGGGTTTGCTCTGCTCAAGACACCACCTTGCACTGTTGACTTAAATTAGGGTTTGAGTTTGCACAGGGATGTTTTGACCCACAATGCCCAAAGTAACTTTCATACTTCATATTGGACTCACAAGTTTGTCCATACCAAGTTTCAAGCCTTGATTCAAATTTTTGCCCAGTCAATTGGACAGTTGACCTAAAAATTAGTTGTATTGGGGAAAAAGTCAACTGTGACCAATTGACAGTCAAACCTCATGAATTTTGACCCACATCAACATTATGAACTCATATGAACCATTTGATCAAGTTTGGATCACAATTCCACAGGAAATTTGATCAGATCATCAAAAGGGCAAAATGGTCATTTTTATGGTTTTGACTGTACAAAGGCGATTTTTGACTATTTGAACCTAGCCAATGGCAAATCAAGATCAACCATGGACTCAAGGACTCAATGACATTGTCTTTACCCATTCAACAAGTTCAAAAGATCTCAAATGCATAGGATTGACAGATGAATTTTTCAGTCAACTGATCAAAATTTGACAGTATACTGAAAAGTCAAACTTTGACTTTTTGGTCAAAATCAAGTGCCAAGGGTCATTTTTCATCAAGACATGTCAAATTATGAAAATTGTTCATCAAGAAACCCAAAAATGCAAATTAGGGTTTAAAATGGAAAATTTTCATAACTTAGAAATTTTCAAAGTTATAAAATTTTCTTATTTTTTTATAATTTTGTCCCATTTTTTCACGTGGATGCAAATGGATTCAAACAAAACTTACAACATGAAAGTTGTAGTCCATAACAAAGTCTACAACTTTTATTCACAAAGTTTTCTCAAAAGAAGCTTGGATCTCAAGTTATGATTTTTGGAACAAGGGTACCTAAAACTTTTAACTTGGAGAAATTTTGCCCTAGTTTAGGCAGGATTTTGACCCATCTTCTTGGTCATTTTTCACATAGTTCCACTTGTATTTTCAAGTTTCATTTCAAAGATGGATTGTAGTACATGTTGCGAGCTTTCCAAATTGTCCAAGAACTCCTCAAACACCTTTGTGGTTAGGGAGAATCGAATGCTTAAAGTTGGCAAAAACTCACTTTGCAACCATGGCCAATACATGTTCATACCACTTGCCAAATCTGATCTAGCTAGCTTGGTTCACAATTACAGGCCTCTAAACTAGTTTGTACTCCATAATTTAATGCAAATCCATTGAGCCAAGGCATTGTCTTCGTCATTAGGGTATTGTACACTAGATTAAGCCTTAAATGGAAAAAGCAACATTGCCATTTTTGCTTGAACTTTGCTTTATGTCAAAACAACATCCTAGAGCATTGAACCAGATCTTATGCTGCAAACAAAATCCACTAATTAGAGGGGCCAAGAGGGTTGTATGTAGGGTGTTAGGATGGCCTGTACAAGTTTATAACCTCACTTCCACTCTCTTGCTTCAAGGAGAAGAAAACTTGTCAAACACAAGGTATCTCACACATCTGAAAAAACCAACAAAAACAAAGTTGTCAAACCATTTTCATACACCCTAGCAAGCTAGAAACACGAGTCCTTAACCACTAAAATCTCCTTGTGCACAAAATCACCATTTTTTTGCAAAACAGGGCAAGCCCTGCAGAACCACCTCCATCTCCACTTTCCATCGTGCGTTTTGCCCCAAACTTGTTCCAATAC